CATAGACGTTTCTATAGTCAACAACAGGGTCAACCTTCTAAGTCAAATGCATGTAACCACGTAAACAGAATGCATAGAACAAGCTAAAGATAAAATGCTAAGTACTAAGAAAGGGCTTTTAAACCTTACTAGCTATTGTGATTTTTTTCTCCAAAATAACTCCTTGTATCTTCCTGAAAATAAACCTCCACTTAATATGAAAACTTTGGAAAGGAAAGTTACTAGTAGGCCTTTGATCTAGTTTTTCCCTTTACCGAGGAAGTGAAATAGATGCCTCAGGCAGTCTCTTTTTATGTGTGTTAGTAATCAAACCTGGTAAAAACACTAATGGTATTTTAAGATAAAAAGATATTAGTGTGCTTATCTGTGAAATGCTTTCAGCAGCTATTCCCATTTTCTATTGCTGCACAACAAACCATCCCAAAACTTAGTGTCAGAATACTAATTTATTATCTTTCATCTTTCAGTGGACTGATGTAGCTCAGTTAGGTGATTTTTGTTTGAAACCTCTCATGCAATTTTAATTTAGACACTCTAAAGTTGCAGACAACTGAAGAGATGGCTTGACTGGATTTCCATGGTGGCTCACTCCTGCTGGATTTACCACCTGCATGAGGTCTCTTCATGTGCCTTGTGCTTTCACACAGCAAGATCCAGGAGCTGGGAAGGAGTCCTTCAGGATAGCTGAAGGATGGTGGGAGTTTCAGAGGGATCAGAGGTTCCTCTGAGAGAGACCCATGCCAAATTTAGACTCCAAAGTCCTATAATGTCACTTTGTGCAATTTTCTTGGTTAGGGGCAACACACCCTCAAAGAGACAGATGGGAAATAGACTCCATCTGTTAATGGAGGAGTAAAATGATCAGGTTATAAAAGAACAAGTGGATTGGAAGATAACAATGAGATCTGTTTTGAATAATGCAATACAACATTGCAGATTATGACCGGTCTGTCCAGGTTGCCCACGGTAAATAAACCTGGTTGTTTATGGATTCATGGGGACAAGACTTGAGTCTGTTATGTAAGCTGGAAAATCAATTGGGTTTAAAAGCTCTGCATGCATTGTTTACATCTTGCATGTTAAGTCTGAACTAGTACAAGTTCTACATCAGCCTAGAGAGAATGTTTTTGAGTTATACTGGTCATCTGGGTGAGAAATCAGCAAACTTTTATGATAAAGGGTCAAATAACATGTAGTTTAGCCTTTGCAAGCCAAATAGTCTTTGCTGCAACTACTCAACTCTGGTGTTGTAGCACATAGGCACCGTGAGTAATATATAAATTAGCATGACTGTATTCGAGTATAAAACACACTTGTTTTCAGGATGTTTGCAAATCTTCTCTTTAGAGGAAGAACACTTAACCTATCGCTTGCTACTAAATCATCAGTAAACTTGATATGAGGTAACTTCTAAAAACTCTTTGAGTCTTTTTTTAAAAGATTTATTTATTTATGCATACAAGAACTGGGGTACAGGTCAGAGGTGTGGGGTAGGGGGTGGTGGTGAGAAGATTCACCAGAGACAGAGTGGGAAACAGAACTGGAAGATTGAAATACACTGCTGAGGGTAGCAGTGGACAAGACAGGAGAGGTCTGCTGTGCCATGTGGGTCAGCTCTCTGGCCAGTGGCCGGGGATAGAACTTGTGCCCTGCTGCAGTAACTGCGGAAAGCTTCATAGTGCTGCGATGACTTAACCCCTTGTGCCACGGGGGAGTCCCCTGAATCTGTTTTGATAATGTTGACTCACAAGGTTTCTTCAAGAAACTCTTAAATATCTATCACAATGCTTGTACATAATACAGACACTTAATATCTATAAATTCATTGATGATCAGGTAGTAATTGAACTCCAATAATTAACCTAGCATTACATAGCTTCAGGATTTTCTGGTTCTGTTGTAGCTATACTGATTGCATTTGCTACAAAAGAACAAACTTTATTGGTACTGTGTTAAAACTTAATTGTTTATGAGAAACCCAAATTTATTATGACTACTTAGATATCATAAAATATATCTAGACTACTTTTAACACATTTTTAATCCAAAAGAAAAACGAGTCTCTTGCAATGTAATTTTCAAGAAACATTTTCTTTCTCCTGTAGCAGAATTTTAAATGGAGGCCACTGCTATAGCAACTTCCCATATACGAGATTTAGAAATGACAAAAAATTATACAATGGGACATTTTGGAGCAGATCCCAGCAACTTCTTATTGCATAGTCAACCTTTTTTATTATTTTTATTTTATACATTTTTTACATCATTTTTCATTTTTGCACAATGTATGCATTTTCATCTTGCTTATAGTCCCCATACAATTTCCACCTCCCTTTGTTTTGATCCTACTCCCTCCCCCCAGCCCCAGTAGTGTGTCTCTGGTTTATAGTTGCTTGTTGATTTTGATTTTTACTTTATTATAATTAGTCTTTTTCCTGATCTCTTATTTAGGTTTTCCAAATTCCTGCTATGAGTGAGACCATCCAGTATTTTTCTTTTTCTTTCTGGCTTATTTCGCTGAGCATGATCCCTTCCAGCTCCAACCATGAACTGACAACCTTTTTTTTTTAACCTTTCAAATCATTGATAAATATAAGAAAAAGATTTAGGGTTCAATTTCATGAACTTTTTTTGAGGAACTTTGAATTAATAGAAGTAATTTTCTAAATGAGTTGATAGATGACCGTATTTTGTTTATATAATTCCTTGGGTTTGAATGGATAGCAGCTACCAGGGGAAAAAAGGAGAAAAACTTGTATAGACAGAACATCAGAACTCGTATTCTTATGATTTTTTGGTAAAAAAAGGAACAATAGGAAATCACAGAAAAACTTGTAATTGTGACACATAATATACAATGTGAAAACGATTAACATGGCTTTATCTGTGATAACAATAAACTGTTTCTCAGTACATAGTAAATATGACTAGAATGTTCCTCAATGTTATTTTCTACCTGTTTTAGATAATAAGACATCTGTAGAGAAGTTAAGTGATCATATTTTAAAAATGTACTATAGGAAATATTGGAAAACACTTGTTTTCCAGTAGTAGGAAAGAAAATAAAGCCCAGGAATCCTTAATGATCAACAAAAATAACCAGAGAGGACATTTCATTAGTTACTCTACCTTTAAAGCTCCAATTGTGGTAACATGCTAATTCTAAATGAGAAAAACTTTGGGATATTGTATAAATCAGTAGCATATTGCTGTTTTCTCTATTTTAGTAAACAAGATAACTAAGATGATGTGCAAACAAGTTCCTGTCCCTCTCCCCATGATAGCATAATGTAAAAATCCCAGGGCAGCCCACATGGCAGAAGTACAGATCCAATACTTTCTGTAAAATTAATATTGTGAAAAGATTCTCAATGATATTATAGTTTGAAGTTTGCCTGTTTCCTATTTCCCCACATGAACTTGAATTTCTCAAAGCAAACTTGTTGCAGGGCAGAAGTGTCCAAGTGTACCCCTCATATTCTGCTCCTTCTAAGGCATTTTGGTACTGTGACTTTAGTTCCATCTTTATTATCAAATGCAACATTATGACAAATTTACTACTTCATGAAAGCTTTATTAATCCAAATAGGGATATTGTGGATAAGTAAAAGGGAAAAGCATCAAGCTTCCCCCGCCCCTCCCCGCCCTCCCCTCACCACGCATGCGCACTCAGCCAAGGGGTGGAGGAGAGCGAGGCTGGCCTGGCAAGGCTTGGTGCGGGATACGTGGCGTGGAGTGGTGGGAAGGATGGAGGAGTGCGTGATGGAGTGTGGTGGGGTGTGGAGGCATTCACAAGAGAATATGAAAATGTCTAGAACACCAACACAGCTGCTTGAACCAGTGATGAACCTACCCGTTTTGGGATGGTTGCACTACAGATATTCAAATGATATTTGTAGGTGTGTTGCAGATAAGGTGTGGGAGAGGAGCGCTGTGTATTAAAAAGAAATAAGACATCTTTGTGAGGAGTCACTGAGAACTTAGGTGTCTGGGATGGAGGTGGAGCTTACTCACACAAATGTGAAAAAATACAAGACAGCTTGTATTTGGGCAGTCTTGAAAATAACATTAAAGACATTTTTAAATTTCCCTGCCATGCAGAGATGACCTGTGCTGATGGGCCCTACACAGAGTTCTAGAAGACAGGAATTCATCTTATGTTCCGCTTGACCATGAGGTGTTGGCTCAGTGTGAGAGAGTTTTCTTGCTGTAAAGTTGATGATACAGTTTTCCAAAGTGCAAAAAATGATAAAATAAATGCTGTCTCATTTGTCTTTTCAACTAAAACAATCATAGATATTTTTAAAAGATGAGTTCTGTCATTATTTGCTCTTCTCATTTGCCCTGTGCTCCCCATATTACCATTGTAGGAAACTCAATCATTTATTCTGTTCATTAGATATATTTTTTTCCTCTGTATTTCAGACATATCTTTTCTTTTTCCTCCCTCTCCCAACCCAAGTCCTTTTGATAGACCTTTCATACAGTATTTTCTCTACTTGGTTCAATTTCTCTTTTTGGTTCATTCTAACCCTTAGAGGACAGAAATAATATTTTCTGGAAAAAAAATAGTTTTTTTTTTTTTGTTGTTGTTGTTGTTGCTGTTTTAGGTCTTCTGTATCTTGCCCACGATTCTGCTAGCATCTCCATGATGGACTACTAGCCTCAGTTTGACAGCACAGTGCTATTAGATTATTAGTATGTCTGTCATCAATTCCTGCCCAAAGATTAAACAGTGATGCCTTACCTATATTCCAAATGACACCAATTTGGTTGTTTTTGCCCAATTATCTACTGGAAAGTCTAGTGCTTATCTACTTTGCAAATAAAATGCTATATTTCAAAACTTTCCTATATACTAACTTCCAAAAAGGAATTTGTGATAATTTACTATTTTAATATTTCTTGAATTCACAATTATCCAATTTATAATTAAGAACTTCTACTCAGTGAAGTTGATATGGATTTCTTTAACAGATTCTTATTGATTTCCTTCGCAGAAGGAGACTGGAAGGTGACTGTTGTCACTGGAGATCTTGAAAATGCTGGCACTACGGCAACAGTGTCCCTTCATGTCTATGGAGAAACTAGATGTTCAGGTCCTATTATTTTGGGATCTGGGAAACACCAGCTGTTTAACCCTAACAGTGCAGATATATTCAAGGTAACATTGGTATGCTAGAAGTCACTTGCTGAGATCCATCATGACATATGTTCCCTAAGATGGAATAGAGAATTTTGTTGTTTATGTTTGGGTATTGCATTTGCATTACATTTTATCGGTGAACATAAAATATTTTATCCTAAGGGAACTGGAAATGACAGTAATAATAAGAACATAAGATTTTTGTTTCTTCCTCACATTTTATTTGTACAAATGCAGCAAAATATATGAACTTTAGAAAGTTTAGAACTTAGAGTGGAAAAATTGGCTCCTAATCCTGCCATCAAGATAAGCATTTCTATTTTTGAATTTCTTTTTCTAGTCCTTTCCATATCTCTGAGGCTAGGATAGAAAGGTGGCGTGGCCTAATGACTAGACATGCTCTGAGGAGTCGGGTGTGGCAAAAATTCAATGCTTGCCACTGCCTAGCAGGGTGACCTGGACTAGTTATTTAACCATCATGTGCTTCACTGGTCCCTACTTCAAAGGATTCTCATGATAACTGAATGAATTAATCCATGTATAGTGTTTGGTGAAATGTCTGAAATGCTCAGTCTGGTTGCCATTGATATTGTAGTACATAAAGAAAATTGCAGTCTTATTCATTCAAGGAGCTGCATAATCTTCCTAATTGTACATTTTATTGATTAAATATTTATTATATGAAATTCACCATCTCATTTATCATAGGTCAATTAGATAGTTTATTATTGTGCGACATTGAAATGACTTTTAGGTTTTTACTGTTATAAATAATGTAATGAACATATTTTTCCCCTTAGTTTCTCCTTTTTTTCTAACCAAAACTATTTCCTTATGATAAATTTTGAGAAATGGAATTACTTTTGATCCATTTATACAAATAACTTTTTTAAATTGTCTGACTTTAGCCCTGTCCTGGAGAAAATAGTAAACAATTGGTAAATTTTAATAGCTAATCTTTACTGTACACTCCAAATCATGGTATCTCTATCTACGGTAGATAGTGTTTACTCTCTTTTAATTAAATTTTCTCAGTACATCTTTGCAAATTATGGTCTTGTGATTGTGTATCTGTGGAAGTTATCTTCACTTTTTGGAATGAAGATATATAATTTATTGATATATAATTCACATCCCATGACATTCTTTCATTTAAAGTATGTAATTCACAGTGTTTAGGGTATTCCCAGACAATAACCATTATCACATTCTAATTTTAGAACATTTTCAACATGTCCTTACTCATCAGTAGTAACTCACCAACTTCTTATTTCCCAGCCCTTGAATCAGCTGGGCCTGATCAATATCAGTGTTAATGTGTTCAGCGTGGTTATCTGGGACAGAAATTAGAAGGCAATGGTTAATTGATCAAGCAAAGCATAGGGTACTCCCTTTCAAGCTAAGGAAACTGATAAAGTAGCAGTCATCAGCCTCCTCTAAAAAAAAAAACAATGGTAATCTACTTTCTATTTACATAGATTTACTATTTCCTATAAAAATAATTTACAACATGAAACCTTTTCTGTATGGCTTATTAAAATTAGGATATTTGGTTAATCCATGTCATAAGATATGTTTCATTTTTATGCCTAAGTTATATTCCATTGCATGGATACATCACATTTTATTTATCTACACATCAGTTTGATAGACAGTTGGATTCTAAATGAATCTTTGGGTGAAAGAATTCTTGGTTGAAAATTTTTCCTTTCATCTCTTTAAAGATGTCATCCTGCTGCTTTCTGGTCTTCATGATTTCTGATAAAAAGTCAGCTATCAATTTTATTGAAGATCCCTTGTATGCGATACGTTGGTTTCTGGTGCTGCTTTTAATATTCTCTCCTTATTTCTATTTTTCTATAATTTGACTGTGTTATGTCTGGAAATAGACTACCTGTTTTTAGCTTTCATATCTCCTATGGTTGCAAAGTTGCTAGTTTTTGAGGATATTGTGGAGCCAGGGAGAGAGGAATGGAAGCAGATAAGGTTATAATGCACAAACCCTTCTATTCTTACTAAGTTCCATAGTTTTAATTGAATAAAGGATCCTTAGATGTTGCAAGTCTTTGGTCAATTTATAGAGTTCTAGAATATTTTATTTCAATATATTTTTTTCATTTGCTTTTATGGATGTCCTCAAACTACCATTCCAGATGTTCTACCCTACCTATTTTAGACTTTATCATATTTTGATCTATTGAAATTTCTATTCCTTTATAATATCTTCTATTTGTGTTTATGATTCTATAATCTAAGAAGATGAGTATGAATTGACCTATGTAAATGTGACTTTGAGACTACAGTATATCATGTGATCACATCTATGACATTTAAGAGATACCACTCAAATGGTGTGAAACATTGCCTATATTACTTTCATGCTGTATGTAGCAATGTGGGGCAACTGTAATGTTCTCCTGACCTCCAAATTGGTGTTGGATAGGAACTTAATTATGGGGTGGTAGAGTTAGTAGAGAATTTTAGCTTCAAAAAAGGGGAGGCTTGCAAAATGGCAATGGGCTTTGTAGTAATTTTGGTAGCTAGACCATAAAGTTAGCCTAATAGGATAACCTGAAATGTCGTTAAGCATCAGATTGAAGCAGATGTGTGGTTCTCTGGAAAATAGCCAAGACAAAAAGCAAAACAAAGAGTCATTATAGCGAAAAGTTGAAGGAAATTGGAGAGAGAAGAGCTCCTAGACTCCAGGAACTGGACCTTATTCAGTTTCCAGCTCTTGAAACTTATCCATTGATGGGCAAAGATATTCATGAATATATGTTGAACGAATAAAAATTTAATGAAGATGACTTTGCTGAAATTTGTTTAATATTTCCTGCTTTCTCTTGGGACATTCATTATTGAATTTCCCTTGTGATCATTCTCACCTTGAGGGCATAATAAACGCATTTCATATATCTTAGATTGTTATTATTTACTAATAAACCTGTCCAGAGATTAAACTGAGCTTTTATTGCATTTTTGCAAATTGAAGCACTAAATACTACTCTCTGTTGCCTAAGAAAAATTAGTGGTTAAGCCATTCACTCCTAGAAAGTAGTTTCCTATTTCTGGTTTTCTATTGTATGAACTCAATTAATTTTGTAGATGAATAGGTTTAATATTTATTATGAACTCATTGGGTACTTGCACAATTATTTCAATATCCCTTATGCTCCTAGAATAGAAGATATAGTATGTTTTTGCCTTTTTGAAAACAATCTATGTCCACAGGAATTAGGAGGTCTATATTTAAATTCCAACTCTGACCTTTACTACCTAAGGAAATATGGATAAACCCATATCTAAACTTTTATTTACTCCTCTTTAAAATGGGTACAATAATACTTTATAATGCTATTGAGCATATTGAAAGAATAAAAATGAAAATACTTAATAAAATGTGTAAAACATTCTTGTCTTTATACTCCTGAGGCTGACTTGTATGTCCACAAAAGTAGTCTCCCTAAGATAATTTTTTCAGATGAATGAGGACAGGAAGCTGACTTGGCAGGTGGTTGGTAAATAATTATTGTTGACTTAGTGGGTCTATGTAGAAACTTGTTCAGAGGCTGGAGTAGGAGAGCGGAATAGAGGAAAATAAGACTAGGATGGTTGGACTAGAACAAAGCAGTGAGAGTGTAAGTCATAGTAGGAATATTTTTCTTGGGTCTGTGAATATTTATAAAGGTTTATAGATGTCCATGAGGATCTATAAATTATTGCCACTAACTAAAAATGATATCGGTACGTCATTTTGATTTTGTCTCATCTCTATATGACTTTCTTTCTTATGTGTTTTTCTTGTCTTTGCTCTCCATCCCTCCTTTCTCCTCCTTTATCTTCTTCTTTTCCTTTTATTATTTATTTATATATTTTTCACAAACTTGAAACTTAGAGCTTGATAATATTTCCTAGTGACTCCATCTGGCAATTGGGAGGTGCAAAATGAAGGCGAACCCTCCTAACATAATTCACTTTCTCATAGATGCAGTTCCTAGGGTCAGTTTAACTTGGTCATTTTTCTTAGCACAAAAATAGAAATATTGTTTTATGATATCTACAGTCAGATCACTAAATTTTCACATGTGAATTTTTATCAAGAAAAACCAGTAGAGTTGTCCTCCTTGACTATAGAAAAAAGCTACAGAACCAAACCACTAGGGAATAAATTATAGAAAGCAGACAACCACTTTTCAGAAGAACTAAATTTTTTTCAGAATGGCTGAATAGTAAAAAAAAGTATTCTGAGATAGCAAAACTTTTTATTTATTGGAGGACTACCTAAAGAGTAAATCATGACCAACTCCTTAAGGTGCAAAAGATTTTTGTGGGCAGAAAAGAAAAATGGCAATTACTGATCTACTCTGAGTTAGACATTAAGTCTGTAGTAAAACTGAAGCATGAAGGAAAAATACCGTTGTCTCTCTTTTTTTCTCCATGTGAGAAATGGTGTTCCTTCTTTCCATAGACCAACACCTCTGAAGTGGTCTTCCTGATGTCCTCTTTTCTCTTTCAGGATTGGGGTCCATCATTCATTTTCTTCTTTTTGTACCTTCAGGATGAGTCTATTACCATTGCCTTTAATTCGCCTACATGTTTATGTCTTCCCTATTGTAAAATCACCCTTACTCTGCTGTTTGATTACTGACATTTCTCCTTTCCTTCTTTGGAGACTTTTTGGAGTAATGTCAGTCTTGTTTCTTCACCTTTTTCTCTTCATTCTCTCCTAAATTTCCTTCAGTTTAGGATTTTTCTCCCATCTTTTAAGCCATGTTTCCTAGGATCAACACTGAGGTCCTAATTATCCCATCAGTTCTTATTCTGGGTTGCTGGTCAATGACTTGTTGGAAAGGTGGCAAGTGCAGTGATGGGCGTGGATGCCAGCATCATATCTTCTGGGTTCAAATCCTAGCTTCTTGGGGTCTCCCTGGTGGCACAAGGGGTTAAGCACCACACTATGAAGCAATCCGAAGCCTCTGCAGCATGAGTTCAATTCCCGGCTGGCCAGGGAGCAACCC